GCTGACCAACCACCTTTCCTAGATATAAAAGAGCTATTCTCAATAGGTACTGCAGCTGTTGCTCCTGAAGATGTGAACTGCCACTTAGCTCGAACCATTGGTATCACCTGTATGAAGACCTGTTTGGAAAAAGGGAATTTTCAAGACATGAAATTGAAGCGGAAGGATAAGGTTTTTTCTCTAGCATCTGTTTTCAGTTGTGTGAAAATTAACGACAAAAAGTTCACAATAGACCCTCTCACTCTCTTTCAACGGATTTGCATAATAAAACAATCAGATTATGACCTTAGAAAGTTGTTGAAATACGAGCTAGTCCCCTTCCCGATGTGTCTCTTCACAGAGGAAAGAATGCACAAGGGCACAAAGTCAATGTTGCATGCGACATTCATTCCTATATAAGAACTAGTAGACTTCGGCAGCGGCAAATGCGCAGTTATTGATGGTGGGTACCTGCTACATGGGGTTGTGTGGAGCAAATCAAGAGATACGACATTTGAATTATTGGGCCAGAATTACGTTGATTATGTTCAAAGACACTTCGGGAGCAATGCTATAGTAGTTTTTGATGAGTATCCTGTTGGCATAAGTTACCAAAGCATCAAAGCAGTAGAACAATATCAACGATCTTTGCTGCACTCATCAGCAAAGTTTGTGTTTTCCAAAATATCTGTTCGTACCATTTCACAAAAAAAAATTCTCTCCAACAATACCAACAAGAAAAACTTCATCACAATGCTGATTACTGAAATGGAATCCAAGGGAATTCAGGCAAAGCAGGCAACAGAAGATGCTGATGTCATGAATAGTGGAAGCTGCTGTATCTAAATCTGCCGACTTTGATAGTGTCATCATAACTTCTGGTTTTACTAACAGCATTAGCTTTTTCTAGAAAGAACATTTATTTCCAAAAGAGTGGCAGAGGTAACACCCCCAATTAGAGTTGCCAGATACTTGAGCTTTGAAAATAGGAGACCCTGTATAAAATTATATGAGATTGGATAATAATATATGAGAATATTTTATGTACTGCAAAATGCCCAAATCCGAAAAAGCTCCCATCTTGACAATTAGCTATGCTTTTCAGCAGATTTTGGAATGTATTGCTGGACATTCTTTTAGGTAGGTAATTAGATACGCCTCCTGATCCGTCAGTCTCATTTCTTGTAACAAGTCGTGGACAACACCTTGAGTTTCTTGATGTTTAAATAAATTCCTGACCCATAATCGTTTTGTTATTATTTCAACTTTGTCCGACGTCAGAAGAAAGTTGAAAATATTTGGTTAAAAAGTGGCGGGAAATTTTTTAGCCAATAGGAGCTCCGTCGTATCATCGGACAGTCGGGGATCGGGGTCGGATAACGGACGCATGACATTCTGGTCTATCACGTGTACGGTAGTGATAATAATGATATACATGGTTTCTTTTTTTTTGAGGAAAATATATGAGAAATAGTCTCTTATTAAACATACTAATATGAGATATGAGAAACAGTTAAAATATATGAGTCTCATATTAAAAATAGGAGGTCCGGCAACCCTACCCCCATTGTTTTGTATTCATCCCATTCCTGCAAAGTCAACACTCAGGATATTTTCTTTCTTTACGCAGTAAGTGGATGTGACATCACTTCAGCACTCTTCGGAATTGGAAAGAAGAAGGTAACGCAAGTTTATAAAAAAAAACATGGTTCTCAGGAATAGTTGGTGTTTTCAAAGATCCTAATGCAAGATCACACGAAATTACTGAAGCTTGTGAGAAGTTCCTAGTGAAATTATTGTACGGTGGTTACTCAGACGCAGATAATTTGGAGGATCTGCGGTACCCAGCATTCTCATCAAACGTTTTGGCAAACTCGAAATTTCAACTTGCCAGATTACCACCTATAAGAGATGCCGCCAAGTGCAAGTGCAAACATGGCTGGGAATGGAAAGAAGCCCCCAAAAGTTACCATCTGCTTGGAGCTGGAGCCTGACCAATCGAGGTTAGTATATTATTATATCTATTATAATAGATTTTTTTCAAAATATACATATTTATTTATTTGGTTTGTATATCTACAGGTGTGATCCCCATTACCACGACTATGGAAGCTGCTCCAGACCACATCCTAAAAATCATTCGCTGCAAATGTACTATGGGATGTAGCACGGGAGCCTATAGCTGCAAAAAAACAGGACTCCGGTGCTCTGTCATCTGCAAGAATTACGTAGGGACCGCATGTGAAAACTTACCAGAAACAGACTTCAATGAAGAAGACACTGATGCTGAGTGCGAAGAATAGGTCAACCTCTTCAACAAAGCTCTACCTCGGGAGGAAAAAGAAGATGGTGACAGCGACGAAGACGTGCCATCTGCATCAAAGAGGTTAAGAAGCACAGACACCCGGCCTTTTTTTTAGGGTTATGATTTTTAATATATATGCTGAATGAAGAATAAGGTGCAAATTATGACTAGAAATTTACATGTTTTCAGACGAATGCAAAATTTAAGTTATAGGGCAAAAACCTGCATTTCTATGCTATTTTTAATAATCTCAGAAATTACTTGAATTTTTGAACCACTATATCTCAGTAACTATTGGATCGAATACTTTTGGCCAGTGAAATTTAAAGGAAATTTGATTTTCTTCAACTTTGTTGAGAGGTTGTAAGCAAAAAACTGGGAAAGTCCGAAAATTTCGAGGTTTTAGTTGCGGTTAACGCGGAAAATAATTCAGATGCACAGTAGACATATATCGTCTACGTGTGTGCACGTGGAAGAGATGAGGACAAAATATGTTTATCCCATGCTTGGTTTGAATTGTGGTCGGCCGGAAGAAATTTTTGATAAGTTGAGAATTTTTATGTACCTTTGAATCACTGCATCAGTTACTATTACGTTAAATAATACGCTTGACTAGTGAAATTTGAAGAAAATTTAATGTTCTTCAACCTTATAACTAGGTGTATTACGCTAAAACACATAGTTTAAAAAAATATAGGCAATAAACTGAAAAAGTCCGAAGATTTCGTGGTTTTTCGACTCCCCCAAGCTAGCACAGGGTCCTCGAGATCGAAAAATCAGATTTTTCTCCACAGACTACCCACAAATGACATACCAAAATATCATTAACTTCGGAATATTTTCCAGCAGGAAGTACTTGCCGGCTGGACTATCATGTACACTGAATCTTTCGATTATTTCCACCTATATTCAATACCTATCAAAAGTCAGAGTCAGTTTAAGGTAGTCCTTCCACAAAATAAATATCTTTAAACGAATTGCAGTACGCACATTATGGCCAAGAATGCCAGTAAATCCTTCCTGAATTTCACCTATGTGAAAAAGACGAACTCCAAGAAGTTCAAGACAGCAGCCCATGTGAAATAAAGCTACTGAACTCTGGAAAACTTGCAAGTCAACCGAAGTCAAAATCACACAACCAATAATCAATTGATTGGACAAATCCAATCAATGGGTATTCGTCCTTCCAGCTAAAGTACCTATCGAACTCAAGTGCTTTGGACGTGGAGAAGAAATCAGAAAAGTTATTGGAACCTTTTTAGTCCATATACCAAGTAACTATGTCTTCGAGACTGATAATCAACAGAAAAAGCTTCTGAAATCCGATGCCCAACCTATACTATTTCCCGACCTTCCAAAACCTAAATTAATGTATTCCCTAAATTTAGGTAAACACTTGAAAAACATAAAATTGGACAATCTCCACCAATTTAGTGAAATCTGAAGACTACCCAGTTTGAGTTGAAACATCGAGTGGTAGGTATTCAAAAGGTTATACAATGAACTAAACTTTAATACATCAAACGCAATGATCCCAAAAGGCTTATCACTTATTAAGCATCTCGTGTCATATGGGAATAATCTACAGTGAGTTGTATAACTTTAATACACCAAGCGCGATAATCCCAAAAGGCTAATCACTTATTAAGCCTCTCGTGTCTTATGGGAATAATGTACAGTGAGTTGTATAACCATTGAAATACCTCCTGGTGGTGGCATTTAATCTTTCAAAATTAGTCTTTTCTTTTCTGGTTTTAAAATTCCCATTAAAACACTGGTGGTGGTATAGAAAGATCTTACGTGCCGGTTTGTGTGATTAAAGAAGGTGTTTCCAGCTTCAGCAGAAAAGTGGTAAGTGGTACTAATTTTGTGTCTCTAATAACACCTTTCAATAACCACTCCAAGAAGAGAAGAAAGAAGATTTCGTTGAGATTGCCTCCGGTTCAGAAAACTATGTACTAAACTATTTACTGCTTCAGATCAAATTAACTTTTCAGCATAATTTACCACGAAATTCTAAGATGTGATAGAATTATTCACGCTAGCAAAATATCAATTCTTACATAACATCTCAATTTAGTCACAAAAGTACTGTATTGTAAATTGGTGAATGAATTGTTTTTTAAAAACTCGTTTACGGCTTACCGATTGATAACCCGTGTACAAAATAAATAGGGTTCAAAAATAAAGTGAAATAATTAAACCTTGTCCAACGTATACCCTTGGCAAGGCTGTAATTTAAAATGCTCTCGGAGTGCAGTATAAAATCGAATTGAAATTTTTAAATAAATAATTAGAAGAGCTAAGTAGTGCAAAGAAAATTATGGCAACTTACTTTATTCAACAAGTACGCATCAACTCATGTGTAATACATTCACAACAAAGTCAGGGATTTATTCTAATCATATCGATTTCCAGAGCAGCTAGCGTTAATTTGAATATATTTTTCAAATTACAATTAATTGAAACAGTCATTATATGGAAGAACATCCTTGAAGTGATTTTTGCATAATTTATAAAATCCTTCAAAGGCGAAACAAACAAAATAAATAAATATAAATAAAGAATATATACTCGAATATATATGTTTCTTCAACCGCCACTTTTGGGCTATATATTACCTACCCAAAAATGAAATTACAGCTTAAGACTAGGTAACATTTTTTTTATACATTCAACAACCACGACTAATGCAATTAAAAAAAAATTGGACAAATTAAACTTCTTTTTCTCGTAGAATATTAGATAACTCTCTCCTTTTTGCCTCATCATTCACAGCTTCCTTCAGCATATCCCATAAGGAGTCTTTATTCAATAGAACATATTGATTATCATTGCTTTCCGAATTAACATGATTATTTTGTAAATCGGCCTCATCGTTTACCTTAACTTTAATGAATTTTTCTGGAATATCATGAATTTGTTCGGTGTTAACGTGCGATATTAATTTTTGTATTATTTTTGATGTAGTTGTCGTTGGAAATGTTGTAGTTTGATGAGTCCATGATTCTAAGCTGTTTGGAGTAGATGTTTTTGATGATTTATTCTTTATTGTGGTAGTAGATTCAATGTGAGGTTTTTCAATCTCAGTTAATAATGAAATTTTTGGAGCATGGATCATAATTGGTTTGATTGATTTATCAACTTTTTTAGTATTAAATTTTCCGGTCTGAACTTCACCTAATAAAACCTTTTTTATTTTAGGTTTATTCACTTGCCTAATTTTTTTAATATTTATTAATTTTGAAGGCTGTTGTGTTGTATTTTCTAATTGAATGATATTTTTTTCTTTGGCCGATGAAGTTGTTAATAACTTTTGAGTCGTCGTGACTACAGCTTCATTGAAATTTTGATGAATATCAGATTTATTATCAACATTAATCGTATAGGTTACCAAATTGATAAATTTAATTTCTTTTTGATTGTCAGTAATAAAACTTACACTTGCAGGAGTTGTTGCTGGAACGTTAATTTCCTTGGGAACAATTTTTGACATATCTTTCCGTTCGCACCCTGCAGGAATATTCATATTTCCAACTTCAGGTCCATCAATGCCAAACCAAGTAATTATATCGTCACTAGTAACAGATTTGAGTAAGCTGCTTTTTTCTTTGGCATGGAAAAATGTTTCAGCAGCTAAATCTTCTCTTGTAGCAGGATAAATCTTAGCATAACCCGGTCTAATGCTTGATATAATATAAGAGCTGCGAGCATTAAATTGAACACAAATAGGACAAGTTGTAGAAATGTTGGCAAAAATAAACCAAATTTGGTTATTGTGGCTACCGTGTTGCATTTCTGCCATTTCCTGAGGTGGATTCAAGAGTTGTGGTGGATTAGGAGTGAGTTCAAAGCCTGAGAATAGGGTGATTTCTTGTCGAAGGACTGGAGATGGTCGATCACCCTTCCATCTAAAAAATATTATAAATTTTAAAAATTAAGTAGGTACGCATTTGAAATACATAGATAGTTTAGCAAAAGTCACGAATATTCGTTTGTAATCATTGCGGAAACAAATTGTTCATAATTTTAACTCTCTTTTAACTTACTTGAAGCATGTTTGAATTTTCACTGTCGGAAGTTTCCCTTCAATCTCCTCAATAGAACTTCTGTCTGGTAAGATTTCCTCTAATATTTCAGATTTAATTTCCAATAAAGGCGTTTGATCACTTACTGCGTAGGAGGAGTACATGGTTTTACCCTGGGTTAGTGAGTAAATTTATTGCTAAGATTATTCGAATATCAAAAATTAGTTACCTACCTGAATTGTAGCACAGCCAGCTCCAGTAGCGTAAACGAAAACTTTAGTGGGTAGACTTGGTAGGTATAAAGTTTGAGATGGCCTGTCTTTGCTGAGATTCAAAGTTTCTGTCATTTCCATGCCGGAGGTTGCTAATGAGACAGTCATGAACCTGAAATTAAGAAGAAAATTTTTAATCAACCTTGGTCGAAAAACTAGACACTAAAAAATATTTCGACCATCGGACACTCGCTCTCGTGGGTCACAGTTTGAAGTTTTTGCCAAGAACAATTAATTAATATCCAGAAAAATATCTATAATCCAGGCAATACGCAATTTTACCTAGGAAAATTCATGGTAGTTTTGGAACTGTATGTATGCTAACGGTATGTTTTTTGGATCGCAACCTTGAAATAATTTAAACATCAGTATTTCATGAACGCTGCTTACAACAGTAAACACAACATTGCATCTTTACCATCGACTAGAGCTGTTAATGCACAATACTCATTTATTAGGACATACCACCAAGTTTAACATTGGCAAGGAAATATTCTGGAGCCACTACAATGAGAATCGAAAGCATCTGGATGCGGAATATTAAGTAAGTTAAGTTCTTGGTACTTTTAAGCCTTCGGCTCCACTAAAGGTTCTCAAGCTTATCTCCTGTAAATGTAAGAAAGGATGCCATGAGATACGTGGTTGCAAGAAAAGTGAATTGAAATATTCAATAATTTGCCTCGAGTGCAAAAATTCACGCAAGAATATTCTTGAAGATATTGTCGAGGATGTGGATGGGGATGATTCACAAGTGGATATCTAGATGATTAATTGTGAAAAGATTGATCAAGGGGATAAGAGCTAATTTTGAAGGAATCTATGGAATCTGAAGATCTAGATCCCGAACATATAAACCAATAAAATGTCGAGTAAGTCGTTTTGTGACTTCCATCATAAACGAGTTTTCGCTTTTGCCTGATGTATATTTATTTAGTTTAAACCGAAGGGTGAGCTAACTCTAGGGTTTTCCTATTTTTGCAAACATGAATGGAGGTACAGCATTGAGTTTGCACTGGAGTTATGATACCGTCTTCGATTCGGGATAATTTCCAAAATATTCGCGAGTTCAGTTTTACTAAGTAATCACACATTTGAGAATTTCAGGGTTTGACTCACAATTAAAAAAAAAAAAAATGATTTTTACTATAATATCGATAAACTCACCTGTGTTGATCATTAGCAAGCGCATTGTACTCCCTAAAAGCTTTTACTGCCGGATAAAGTAGCTCGTAATGATTGTCTAATATATGAGAACGATAAAATAAAAATCTCGTGACACTTTGAGCACTCTTCAGATCTCCTATTATGCAAAAAGTCGAGAGAGCGTAGAGCGATGCACGATATTCTTCGGCAGTAGCTGAAATAAAAAAAGAACAATTTTTTGAAAATAATTAAGTATTCGCTAGTTAAAATATTTTGCTATTTCATTTTATTGTCATTTTATTAATGTGAACAAAATGCTAATTGATTATTTAGTGCTAGGAATTGATAGTATAATAAGTATTAAGGTCAATAAGTGTTCCTTACTGGTTGAGGAGGGGTTCAAAACGTTCGAAACCAGCATGAACTTCTTCTGACTGTGATACTTATACTATTTTTGCACGCCCAAATTTGCGGGTGCAATTTGATACTTTCCGGCTCGCAGGGCCGTAAAATGCCACTATGGTGTACGTGTACCTACTATGGTGTAGGTGTCAAAAATTGAACAAATACTGGTACAAATTGGTTATTTTTATCCTTACGAACCAAAATGATGAAATCGAATGTTTGTTTGGTTGGTAACTGAACTGCAGTTTCAACTGATAATTTACGAATGACCACCAGTTTTGGTTATTATTTGACTTTGAAGGATATTTGAGTTAAAACATAATTACTCGCGGTCGTACATAAAATTTTGTATGTACCACAGGCGCAAATGGTGTTTGAGGCCTTGCGTATGGTTGAAACACGAGGCGCCGTAATCATCCTAATTGCGCCTTTGGTAGGTATATAAAAAACTATTAAGCAGGATCGGGCGGTAAATTTAACTTACCGACCGCATTTCCGGGTAGTGATTTGATTTTACCAACCTTTTTTTTGGGGTGGGATATCAGATGACTTGGTCATAATATACCAGGAAAAATTCAACCATACAGTTAGAGATCGCATGCAGCAGGCTCTTACAATGGTCTTAAAGTGGACAGAGACTTTAGGGTTGAAAATTAGTGCAACCAAATCGACAATTGTCCCCTTTACCAAAAGGAGGAAAATGGAGGGACTTGGAGCTCTTTACCTTCGAGAAACCCAGTTACGATGTCGAACGAAGTTGAATATCTTGGAGTAATCATTGACTCAAAATTAACTTGGAACAAACAATTTTTTTAAAGTAATTAAAAGATCAGAACTGGTATTTATACTAGCCAGGAGAACTTTCGGAAAAGCCTATGGGCTATACACAACAATTACAAAGCCAGCAATACTATGCGTCTTTCTTTGATATGGTGGACAAAGACACAACAAGACAGAGCCAGAATGAGACTTGGCAAGGTGCAAAGACTTGCCTGTCTGGGCATTACAGGATGCATAAAGAGCACACCAACAGTAGCTATGGAAGTCCTACTAGACCTACCTCCGCTACACATTGTGATTCAGGCGAAAGCCTCCACAGACGAAACAAAACAACCCGAACAAATTAACAGTCAGATCAGGCCACACACAAATAAGGGAAGTCATGAATCTGACAGTATTCGACATAATAACTGACTATGCACTTCCCAAATACTCACCCGACATATCCTTCCAAGTCCAAATTAGTGAAAGGGAGGAATCGGAAAGCCAACATGCACTCTGCAATCTCAAAGGCCAGACCTGGTACTCGGATGGGTCAGAGACTGCGAATGGCACAGGCGCAGGAATCTATAGTCAAGAAGAAAGATGCGAGACCTTCTTATCTCTAGCGTCACATACATCTGTTTTCCAGGCAGAGGTATATGCAATACTACAATTCGCAAGAATCAACAACATGAAGACCTGCAAAAACAGGGGACTCACTTTACTCACAGATAGTCAGGCAGCACTGGGAACATTGAAGAACCCTAAGGCAAACTCTGCACTGGTAATAGAATGCCGAGAAGAACTCAACAACTTGGCGGACCAAAATAACGTCACATTGATGTGGGTGCCAGGACAAAAAGGTATCCTGGGCAACGAAAAGGCTGACGAATTTGCACGCAGGGGGTCATCCGCAGAATACCTAGGTCCCGAACCAGCTCTCGGAGTGCCCAAAAGCACAGTAAGAAAGGAGCTGAAGGGATGGATCAAAGCGAAACTCGCTCAATACTGGAAGCAAATTCCCAAGCATGCACATGGGAAAATTTTCATACGTGAGACATGCAGCAAAAGCGCAAAAGACTGCTTCAACTAAGCAGGAATCAACTCAGAGTAGCAACCGGCTGCCTCAGTAAAGAAGCACCTGTAAACAATGGAGTTGTACAACGGAGGCACGAGCTGCACACTATACACTATGCGGAGCAGAGACTGAAACAGCCCAACATATTATATCAGAATGCGATGCACTAACTCGCAGAAGACAAAATATATTTGAAGAAGATGAACTAGATCCAGATACATACGGCAAACATTTAACAGACCTACTTCGCCTACTGCAGGGAACCGGGGTTTTGGAATGGTAAGCCTCGGACTACAGCGCTACTCGGTGTTTAATCAGACGACTTCCCCACAAAAAAAAAACCTGTTCTTTTAGGATTAAACAACTAGAATTATTTATGAAATATTTACTCGACCCTTATTATATTTACATATTTATTATTAAAAGAATCGGTGTGGACAACCATAAAAATAAAAGTTCCAGACTTTTAGAAGATTTGCAAATACAGAAGTTGCCAGTTTTTTAGTGGAAACGCGTCTTTATAGGGGGAAAGACTGTTTATTTTTGAAAACTATAGCCGAGTTCGGAAAATAGCTCCTAGTGCATAAAGATGGAAGTTTTGTGTCACGTGTTCAACTTATATAATTTCAATTTTGAAATCACGTGTAAAAAAATCACATGTGGAATGTCATTTCCGAACTCGCCTAATAATGTCAAATGGATTTTATTACATAAGGCGAAAAGAATCGCTATTTGACAATCCGATACGGGTTTCGACTTCGACTCAACTCGTACAATAGAATCCGGCAGCAGTTTTATTACTTCAAATGGAATATCACGTGAGCTTCTATCAAAACATTGTCATCTTTTAACTGGTCTATTCAAATCATGAGATTCGAATCTAAGGCAAACTAAAACAAAAACCTCTAGAGGCGTTATCAGCAATGAAGTAGTAAGAAGGTTTGGAATGGGCTTTGCGTCATTCAATTGATTCCAGGAAGAGATAGCGCTAGTAAGAGCAAAAAATCCATTGGATCTCCCGGATCTCTCACTCTAACCCTGAGTGAGATAGCGCTAGTAAGGGCAACAAAATCGCACGGATCTCTCCTGTTCTCTCACTCTAATTTTGGCCGCAAATATATTTATTGAGTATATAGGCAAAGGGCCATTCCAACCTTTTTACTACTTCATTGGTTATCAGTCGTTTGCAGGTGGTTCTTATTGGTCGATTCTGGTTTTGTCCCTCGTGCCGAATTCCAGGCGAGCATTCGTATCAGTCGATCCCGTGAGCATTGCACCAACCGCGCGTGATTGGGCTGTCTGTTAGTTCGCCTTGGTTTTGAATAGACATTAGCTTCAGTTTTTTAATTTTTGAACTGGAAAAGCCCGATTGTGCATGAAACGTAATTGGTATTTTGGGCGTTCTAAGTGTCGTTAACCACTCTAGAATATTGAAGAACTCCACTATCGCGTTGGTTTTCAAAAATTCTCGGGTAATAAACGACAGTCACCGCCCTTAGTAGTGTCAAGAATTCCGGGTTCACTAAAACTCACTTCACACACAGTAACAACTCTTATGAAGCTAATTGACCTTATACAAAATTCACTTATCACTCGAAACATACACGACAAATATCGAAGTAAAACTTACCTGAACTTAATACTACGCGCTATTTATGGCCATTTCCACCAACTATTTAAGGGAAGCGTTAACGATAAGTATTCCCTGAGCCTCATGGAAGACTGTCATTTTAAGGAATACTTATCATTAGAGCTTCCCTAAAATAGTTGATGGAAACGGACATTATAGTCGTAATCGGGAAAAGCTAGAAAAATATCGAATCGAATACAGATAAAACAATTCCAGGAAAAGGCGCGCTATCCGACATAAACAAGTACCCAATTCCTTGGAATCCTGGGGCCGGTTTGATGCCATCAGGGTCCTTATTCTTGAAACAAGGGAGCAGCGTTCCCAAGAGAACGAGTGTTCCGTCTTTGTTACTTATATTGTCAATTGCATATCATTGAGAAAGACAGAACACTCGTTCTCCTGGGAACGCTGCTTCCCTGTTTGAAGAATAAGGACCCTGATATAATATATGCTCACCTCAATCATTTGGATTCATGTGAACTACTTTGGAGAGATGTTTCTCGATTGTCTTGTTGAATCTCTCAACCATGCCATCTAATTGTAGATGCAATGCCGTCATTCTGGTCTTGTGAATGCCTAACATTCCGCAAAGTTTTTGAAGTAGAAATTGCGCCCTTGATCCGAATGAAATTCTAATGGGTTTCCAAACTTAGTAAAAACATTATTGTTAACCGCTTCTGTAACGCAGTAATTTTCCTTGGGCTTGGTAAGCACTCTACTGTAGTGTTCAATGACCCTTTCTTGTATTTGCGACAGAACCGCTTCGATACCTGTGTTGCTCGCGTCTGTGTCCAAAATAAATTTTCCATGTACCCATGGGCCTCTCAGAAGCTCCGTCACAGATTATGGTCCAATCAAAAATAGACTTCTTCTCTTAATAAGTTTATGCAACGGCGCAGCTACATTAGCAAATCTTTCTACAAATCGTCTGTAGTATGTACAAAGCCCAAGGAAACATCGGGTTTCATGTTTGTAGCGAGTTCGAGGCCATCCACAAATTGCAGTATGAATTCCTTCGGGTGAAACTGGGTGGATCAAGAAAGTCAACGCGCTGTTGAAGAGTGAACATTTCTTGTCATTTAATCCGAGGTCTACCTTACGGATACGTGAAAATACTTCTTTTAAGTTTCGTAGGTGCTCATCGAAAGTTATTCCCATCACTAACGCATCATTCAGGTAGACAACGCATTATTTTCACGTAAGTCCTCGCAGTACGATTTCCATGAACCTCTCAAAAGTAGCGGGGGCGTTACAGAGTCCAAAAGACATTACCTTGAATTGGTCAAGACTACTTCCAGTAGAGAACGCTGTCTTCTCTTTTTTTTTGCGTCAATGCCGA